CCCCAAAACCCCAAAACCCCAAAACCCCAAAACCCCAGAGTTCTATAATATATTTTTATATCTTTGAATAGATCTTGGAAATGGATATAAAGGTAAGGAAGGTTGGATAGGAATAGGAACATGAGCAAGGATATCAGCTAGAGGATTTCGCATTCTGTAGCCCAGAAGAGGCTGAGAATAGATCCTCAAATGAAGCATCGTAACTTCTGTCTAATGTTTTAGCAAGGAAAGTAGGGTATATGATGATCTGAGTATCTTTGAGATAGAACAGACTGACCCTTCTGAGAGAGTCTGTGACCCTAAAAGAGTGATTAAGAAGTATTCACGAGAGATTAATGCTGGTACGAATTATCCCAGATCTCCAGAAGTCCTACTAAACTGAGTATTGTACATGACAAATGAGATTTTGGATGCAAAGCCAGATGGCTACTTCTCAAAAACGCTTGCAAAATGTTCCAATCCAAATGTAAAAATTTACAATTTCTGTAGTGACAGATTCAGGGCTGTTTTACAAGACTTAACGATTAACGGGGATTCCAGCGAAGAGACCATCGCATGCTACCAGAAGATGGTATATTTCTACATAGATTATGGCGTCATTATGCTAGATTGGCCTGATTTCCCTCTCACACCACACTGCCAGCTGCTATCACATTGCTTAGTGAACCTGAACACCTGTCACAATCAATCTGGCTCAACTAATCAGTCTGAATTTCTAGGATATCTACTCATAGTTGCAGAAGATGATCCCTTATGGACCATTGAACTGCTAAAGAGCACAGAATTCGAAGTTGCTCAAGTAGCTTTAAAGGCACTTAAGCCAAGATGGAAAAGGAATGAAGCAGAAGAGGAAATTAAGCAAGAATTAGGAAGATTAGAGAAATTGAGGATTTTAATTGATGCTCAGAGAGGATGGAGTAGGAGGAAATTAGGTAAGGAGGAAGTCTGGGTGGTTTGAATGGAAGGAGAGTGTAGGATGCTGGATTTTGAAGCAAATCTGTGGTGGTGGATTTTTGGGAGCTTTGAATATAAGGATTATTTATTAAGCATCACTTCAAAGATATTTTTATAATTCTTCAAATCCAATAGTTACACCCAATATAACTCTGCTAAATTCGTCTAACTTCTGTAGAGTTCGATCAAATTAAATAAAAGTATCAAAGAAATCCATACATTTATCATCGACTCAAAACCAACCAAAAAACTGAAATTCAAAATTAGGCCAGAAACACTGTCCAAATTTCTACCATTCTCATCAGCTTCCACTCACAGCCTCGAGCTCCAAGATGATGGGTTCTTGCACCCTAAAGGGACATCTTAAACCTCAGAAATTCTTTCAAATTTTCACTCCCAAAAGGGGTTTTGGGGTTTTGGGGTTTTGGGGTTTTGGGG